TAGAAGAAGACATGAAGAAACTTGTATTAGAACTCAGTGTTTCACACAAAAATTTGTTAGATGCTGAAAGTGAAATACAGGAATTAAAATTAAAAACCATTGCAGTAAGAAAGACTGAAGATCTGGAAGCAGAAGTTGAAAATCTTCAAATTCGGAATAAGTTGTTGTTACAAGAAAATCAGAGTGCCAGTAACAATATTAGTGAACTTTGTGCACTAAATAACCAGTTAAGGGCACAGCTAGCAGAGAGGACAGATGTTCCAAAAGTCTCTGTGGCAACCAACACAGCAATTTCAGGTACATTATATGATGCTTTCTTTACACTTTACTCAAAGTGCATATGAGCAAATTTGAGGTTGTAACTGGCTAATTGGTTTACATTAAAACTAGATCAAATTTACTACATTTCAAAAACATTCCTCCACATTGTTGGTAAACTACATGGTGTCGCATCCCAAAGGGCTATGATCTTCATATTCACTGCCATGGGAACCTCAGATCTCTCATTCTTCAATACTTTCATTTGATCTTTGTGTATTCTAGATTGGTGTACTGCTTTCCACCCCCTTTCATATTGAGTTAACTCAATATTATGCCAGCTGCATGAGAAAAACTCTTGCTGAAACACAATTAGTTCTTCTTTGGGCATTTTCCTAGACAACATAGTAGATTGATGTGCAAAATATTTTGGATATACTGTAATGCAATCACAAATTCAACTAGCCTCTGCTGTAACAGCATCTGTATGAGTAAGGATGACAGGTAATGCTGTGTGTGGTGAGAGGTCAGATGCTGTTACAGCAGATGCCAGTCGAATTTGTGATCACATTACAGTATATCCAAAATATGCACACTGCAAATTTGTTTTTGAGTAACTTTATAAAAATGAAAACCTCCCCACCCCCTTTTTTTTTGCGTTTGTTGATTGGGTGAGAATTCTGGCTGCTTGTATACTGCATAACTAGGAGTTAACTATATTTTGACATGACTACATGAATATTGCCTGCTGTGTGGAAACGGCTCAATAAACAAGCGAGCCGTTGTTGGGCAATGAGCCTCGACAACAATTGAAGAGTTGTTGGAAGTAGTGTGCTATGGCTATGTAGCGATTGCCATCAGTAGTAGCTGACAACGTGTATGTGATTATGTAACAAAAGTATGCAGGCAACAAGCAGAAGTCATACAAAATCTTGGGAATGAATATGTTCACAATGTAGGACAAGGCAAAGCCAGACTTAGAAAATATAAGAGGCTTAAACATGGTAATGGGCAAGCTTATGACCATTCAAGTTGCCATTGTAGCATAAGATAAGTAAGATATGCATGATCTGCTTTCCAAAGCCTGGACTGACAAAGGATTTTTGTATAGTGCAAAAGGAAAAATTTTCAGTAACATTCTGTATGTATGTGTAATACACTTGACAAAGGCAAAGCCTATTCATTAGAGACAAACCCAACCTCTCATTAGAGAGGATGTTAGATAAGGACTATGACTACAAGGGTTCAATTGCCCCCCAAAAAAAAATCTCTGGTCGTGAGTCTCAAGGGACTACATGCCAAGATGAACTGATTGGCGGTAAACTGCCAATTATAAATTAACTCTCACCCTGAGATAGTTAACAACCAGTGATAGCCAGGGATAGGTAGTCATTTCTTATTAGTGAGTTGTGAGATAGTAGCCAGCTAGCAATGATGTAAACATGACAGCAGAAGAATCTCCATTGCTGGAATCCATCACCAGGCAATGACTGGTGAGGTCATAGAAGACTTAATGTGTGCCTTAGTACAGTGGTTTGTAGAGTGCATAGATCCATTAAACTTACAGTTACCTGTAGTTACGAGTTATAAGAGTCCAGTAAATCAAATTACGAATTCAAACCCTGTGTCTGTTCACATGTGGCATTGTCTTAAATTAATACTCATGGCAATATAGGCAACACTGTGGTTGGGGAAGAATTCAAAACTTCAACAGCATTTATACCGAAGTCCACCACCGACATAATACTGAGCTAGTTGCAGCCACCTCCCATGGACACAACTTGTGATTGTCTTTATGTTATTGTCACATCTCGTTTTTGGTCTGCAAATGGGATGTATTCCGAGAGGATTCCCTACCGCTAATCTCTCTGCTTTCCTTGTCTTCCATATCCTAACCAGTATTGAGCCCACTATAGTCTCCTAGATTTTACCATCCTAATAATGCTACATTACTTTCATAATCACAGTCCTACTTATGCAGTATAATGTCAGGTAATGTTTGAGTATGTTGTTTCTTTAGAGAAACCATATTTCATACCCAAACGGTATATCTGGCAAAATTGTTTTTTATTTTGATATTTAGTCTTTTGGAGAAAAGATAGAATGATTTTTCACACTGAGTATTTACAAGTATTTTCAAATGTAATATATTCAGAATGTCCAGTCTATTTCTTATCATTCTGGATAAATTTTTCAGTATACTAAAACTGTTAATTGCATGCAGTTGTTTTATGATTTTTCTAATTTTGTTGCCATGCCATTCATATATTTGGTGTTATATTAATAACTTTTTCTGACCTGTTGGAGAATTTTTGTGTTGTTTTATTATGAACAAAGGCAGTATAGTGTACTAACCAAAAGAAGAGGAAAACGTGTGTTTTCTCATTTGGTTTGTCAAATAAAGTTTTCCTGTTCATACTCTTAGTTTTATATTATAGGCCCTTGCCACTGCAAGGAATTAACAGAAAAAGTCCACGAACTGAAACTCATTAATGTACAGCGGAATAACAGGATTGGAATTTTGGAGTTGCAAATTAAGGCGGAAGAATTCCCTTATCAACAGAAAGCCAAGGAATTAGAAGATAGTGTTTCATACTACAAAAATAAGGTAACTAGAATGATGTCATGAAATGAAATTACATTGGAAGGTTGCAACATGAAATATTGTTAACAGGGTTCCTTAGTGCAGTTGTGTATATCCATCAGTTAATCTTGCATGTGAGAGTACTGAATAAAGTTTGTGTGTGGGATGGACCTTGTACAAGTTACTGTTGCTGTGACACCAGAATAACAATGGAACAGAAGGGATGTAGAATGTTTCTCAACAAATTTTATTCATTGCAAAGCTAATAATAGCAAAATGGAAAGAAAATCTAATATTCCTCAATATACTGGTTACACAAGAATAGCAGCAGAATAGGAACAGAAATGCAGTGTACCTCAGTAAGTACAAAATTAAGGTTATGTTATATTTTCCCACAAGGTTGATTTTTGTGTTCGAAGTGGAGATACTCTGCTTAAAAATATACCAGCCAATGATTCCATGGTCTTTCCCCCGTTATTTTCAAATTTATAGCTCATTTAAGTAATACATATTGCTCTGTTATACAAATATGTCTAAATCATTTCCATAATTAGAATGCTCAAGTCATGGAGGATAAGTGGGCAGTGAATGTAGCACGAATGGGGGGAAGGGGAATGCATATAGGATTTTGGTAGGCAAGCCAGATGGAAAGAGACCACTAGCAAGACCAAGACTTAGGACGATAATATTAAAATGAATCTTAGAGATAGGGTGGTGTGGTATGGACTGGATTGTTCTGGCTCAGGATAAGGACCAGTGGATGGCTCTTGTGAACACAGTAATGAATTTTCGGGTTCCATAGAACTCTGCAAAATTCTTAAGTTGCACAACTGGCAGTTTCTCAAGAAGGGCTCAGCTCCATGAAGTTAGTTAAACCATTTCCATGCAATTTAGTATAATTTTGATTTCAGTTGATCTCATTTCTGAATCCTGGCCATCCATTACACCTGTCATTTGACTTATTTGCTTTTATTTATTTTACTTGGGGTTTGTGCTCCATTGCATATGCATTGGTGTGAAACATGATTTTTGTGTTACAGTTTCAAGCCCCAGTCCAGTGTGGAGTTTGATTCCTTGAGAACAGCACATTAGATAAAACTGTATTGACAAATTTAATACTGTCCGTGTTAAATGGGGACACAAGAATGTGGTTGCATGAAGTCTTCCATTAATACATAAGATTATGTACAGACATTTTATGCACACACATACGAGTACATATACATGCATACTCACTCACAGACAAATGAATGACCCTACCTGTATTCCCTGTATTCTGTTAGGTTATCAAAAGCACCAGAATCAATGGTTTGGATTGCATGCCTTTAGATACTCTGAGTGTAATAAGGCTCGATTATCAAGATAATTCCTTGGTGCAAAGGAGCTGAGGCATAAAAACTGTACCTCCACATTAGGTTCACTGACTTTCACTGTTAAGAGGGCTGTGACTGTGGGTAGAATTTATATGTTTATGTTTTTCTGCATTCGGCAATTAATTGTGTGTGTGTGTGCATGCGTGCGCATATGTGAGAGAGAGAGAGAGAAGCAGTAAATCTTTGGTGAACAATTGTTTGCTGTATTTTGAGTTTCCCTTTCCATTTGCTTTAGTTTCACTGCTAAAATACATAAATTTGTTTTCTCTTGTTAGTTTTTTTTATGATAGATGTTATTGTAGCCTGTGTTTGGTTTCTGAATATTCTCATTGCTGTAGTTTTATCCACAAACAAAAATTTTGATTTGTATTTGTTTCACTGCCAAAATTCTTTTTATAGTGTAAATGCTATTATATGTGTTTTCTAGATATCCTCTTACTATGATCTAATGTTTGATAACTTTTAAACCAGAATTATGAATAGTCACATTACATGTTTACTTTTCTATTTTTGTGCTTTATTGAAGAAAGTGAGCCTTTTACACATAGCCATTATCTTGGTTTCATTAAGCATTCATTTAAGAGGATGGGCCAGTTGAGACCAGATATATACCCTTTGACTTTAGTTTGCTTTTGGTATTTCTTTACAATTGTAAGTTGTTCAGTACAGGAACTCTGCCACTTTGAAAGATTAATAATAGTAGACTCAGGATAGATAGACTGTTCACATAACAGTAACCAGTTCTTCAGATCTGATGTTTTATGGATGAAGTTCCAAATACAAATTACCTTTGAATCTTTTTCATGCACAGAACATGGAACTTAGAACAGACTTACGCCGCTTACATCACATGATAAAAGAAAAAGATTCAAGCGAAAACTGTGATAGCTGCAGAAAGCGAAAATCACTGAAGTCACACCATGTTGCTGTTCAAACAGATGAAGTCAAGGATGAGTACTTCTTAATGGCTGGAGGTGGTGGAAGTGGAATAATAAGGGTATGTATGCTGTTAAAATTGGAATCCATATCAAATCCAAATTTAAAATTAAATTCAGTGCAACTTGCATGATGTATATTATTGGAACACCCTTTCATATCATCAAGCCTACACAAATTTCCTATAAATCTAGGAGCCACCATGAGAGACTGGACATCAGATTAAAAAACACCATAACTTGGGTAAGAAATTCACTCATTTTTACTAAGAAAAGGACAGTTGAAATATATACATATAAATAATAGTTCCTGCCAAGCTCAGGTAGAAACCAACACATCAATGATAAGGTATGGAGAGTGGAAATACAACAGGATGGACAGGTAAAAAGAAGGTGACGGAGTATGAAGGGCAGAGAAATTGTGGTACTTGAAGAAGTGACATGATAGATGGTGAAGATGAATGAAAAAGGGACTGAGAAGCAATAAAGGAGAAACAAGGGATGGGGATAAAGATAACAAGTGGCCAGACAAAAGGAAGGAATGCTAAGAGTAATGTAACAGCAGAAACTTCCAAGTGGCATCATGAAAATTTTAGGTACCCAGACTTTGTGCAGGCCTGGGTCTTAAATTAAGACCTACATGTTTCATCCTTATTATCAAAATACACGTCAATAATGCAACAATATAAAAGACATCAAGAATATGTTATTCATTAAAAATGTATTTTAATACTTTATGATGTTAAAATCATTACAATGTTATGAAGACACTAAAAGTATATTTTATACATTAAAAGTGATTATCAACATTTCTAAAATGTCTCTAGTTTTACATATATTATTTTCTAGTTTACAACAAGTTTCAGCTGCACATGGGCCATCATCAGGTGACTTTTTCTTTTTGTTTTGGGGGAGACCACTACACTGTTCACTTGCCCACCGTGCTCCCATTCACATCAATGTTTACTACTATCTCATGACTAGAATGCTGTCATTGTACTATTTTGCGGCTATTGTACTGCAATGTATAATGTGTATTAGTATGATTAGTATAAACACTTTCATGATATTTTATCGTGTTGTTTTCATATATCAAATATTGCTATTCTGTGTACTTATGTTTTTGTGTGTTGTATTTCTCTTGTGTATGTGTCACTAGTGTGGTCTTCCTCTATACTAAACATAGTGTGGTTGTTCCTGCTTATAATACATTCTAGGTAGCATGTATAGTGCTATCTATCGCAGAGATCATGCACTGTCTGAAATATCAGGTTGCGTGTCTCGATATGTACATCATTCATGTGTAAATTGATCTTGTATATCTTATAAATGTGATATCTCTCTAGTGTGTTCAAATGTCTACTTTTCCTTCCAATCCTTATGATGTCCATAGTGTCCCATATTTAATATATGGCTTGAATAACCAGATTTGCTACAGTTACTGCTAATGGCTTCTATGTGTTCCTTTTGTACATGTTTCAGCCTGTTTAGGTCACCACAGGCTATATGTACATCTGTAGCACGGTGTTTAGCTTATATTATGTATTATAACATTTAATAATTGATTTTATGAGTTAAACATATGATTAATGATATAATAGACAGGTTCTCAAACTGTGGGGCACGACCCCCAGGGGGGGGCAGCATACTTTCCTACAGATAAAAATTAAAACTAACCTAAATCAATTAGAAAAGTAACAAAAATAAAAATACATATAGAAAACTTTTGATGAGTACAGGCTTTAATTATCATGAATTTCAAAATAACTAATAATTATTCTCTTTACTGGCAATTATAAAAATCTTCACAGCTCTTCTACGAACTTCCCGTTACTTAAACCCACTCAGATACTCCCAAATACTGATGAATACAGACAATCCGGCTGCTTGTTTCCCAAACTGCAGTCCGAAAGCCTTCCTGGCGAACTCAACTTCTCCCCTTTTGATTTTAAGAAGCAGCTGTCATTTTGTGCCTGGGTTCTTTATTTGCTCGCTGTTCTGTAACTGCTGCTGGAGGCCTCGGTCCCTTATGCCGTTGTTGCATTCCAGGCCCTTCCAACGTCTCCTGTCACATGTCCCTATCATCTTTGTTTTGCTCCTTACGCCTGTGTCTTGCATAGCGGGTAACCTTCCTTCCAGCTGCGGTCACTTCTTTCCATGGCCCACAATTTCGTGGGTCAGAATTTTTCTGAAGATGGTTCCTCTTGCGCCATGCCACTGTTGCAAGACGGGACACCTTCCTGCAGGCAGCACCCAACTTTTTCTGGGCTTCACAAATTCCTTGGGTCAGTTCCTTTGGCTCTCCACATCACCCTGCAGCTTGCTTCTGGCCCCTATGCTGCTTCTTCTGTCCTTTGACCGGTTTCACTACAGCATCTTCCTTGGGGACTTCTTGATACTCCACTACGGACTACATCCCACTTCTGACACCAGCTGTCACGTGTTTTCTACATAATGAGTCAAGGAACAATGGGTTTTGAATTAGACGAATATTTATTGGACAAGTATTTGTGTACACTCACAGTTATAATCACTCTCAGTAACGCCTTCAGAAGTTTCCTCTTTGATGGCTGTACTCTTGCATCGCTATTCTCGGTGGAGCCTTCCTTCTTGGTTCTTCCTTACCACTCGTTGGATCCTCACTATTCTGGGTTCACATCAAAAACAAAGATAACCATATAATACGGATCCATATTGGTTATAAATACAGCACTTATCATGAAATAACACCTGATGATGACCCATTAAGGGTCAAAAGATGTGCCATAGATACACGTGCATGACCTCAATGTAAATAGGCCATTTGTATACTTTCATAGACTGTTGTATTGACTGAAAATGCGAAGTAAAGAAATTATATAGAATTGAAGATGAAGTTCCTTTGTACTAATTTTTAATAATTTTGAACTGATATCTGACAATGTTCGATGGCCTATTTTTGTGTACCAGAATATGGCAAAAGAGCTGATCATGGTGGCCATACTGTCTAAAGCATGAACTGTCTTCTCACGCTCAAACACTGGGGTAATGGGCTTGAAATGCGCTTGAGGCATGGATGTTTGTGTTGCCCTTTGTTGGTAGCTGGCTTGCGGCAGGCTGATCCCCTGTTCAAGGGGTCCTACTGACTATATGATCAAGAAACTGTAAAACAGAGGCCATAGTTCATCATGAACTGTAATGCCCACAGGTTATTGTGTTCATGTGTTCATTCAAATAAAACTTGAAAAATACAGACTCAGGATTGAGCTCACCACTGTGAAGTGACTGAATATACCAATTACAGAAATTACGAGCACTATTATCATTTAACTGTAAGCTTAGCCCTACAAGCCACAGTTTGCACATTCTGTAGCCACGTGACCAGTAATTTCTGTAACTGGTGTCTTCATTCTGTTCATGACAGTAAAATTCATCCATGATTGACATTTTTTCACAGGTTTGATTTCTTTGAATTGATGTGGACAAAAAATAGCAGATACTGAAGCACAGGAATTCACATCTTTTCATGAAATCCCACTCCATAATGTAAAACTGGTGTTTGGTGTGCCTTCAGTGCAATGAACTTTGTGGGTTATGCGTTTTATTCAGAAAGTGTGAATACTGAGATATATGTACTGCTAAGAGAATAGTAAATTTCATCTTTTCATGTTATCACCACAGCTAAGTAGGAAAGGCAACAACCCATGCAGTGAGCATTGGGATAGAAGTAGTAGTACCTGGAACCAGTGCTTGCAGCTCTGTCAGTGAACTCTGTTAGCATGATGTAGCTCAGCATCACTACTACATTCCCATCCATAAGTGTGTATGTGTGCATGCATGTGTGGGCCTGTGTTGTTTTATTTTTATACAAGTGGCAGCATGATTATATAAAAGCTGAATTTGTATGTAAACAACTATAAATGTGGCTGTCCCATATAAAATGGCGGCCATGGGAACTACAGGTTTGTCAATTTTCAGCCATTGTGGGGATTGGCTTTCCAATGATTTACAAGGTTTTGACACTGGAAAGTAGAGAATTTTGCTGTGTTCAATCAGGTCTCAAAATCCAGAATTCTGATGTAGGATGCTGGCACATGAACCTCAGCTGGAAAGCAGTTTGTCTAAATACTGCAAAGTTCCTACCCATAGTCATGAAATATATGCTGAATGCGGATATATTTACATCTACCTGGGGTGATTATGTGTCTTGAGCCTCAAACTAATTTTCGGCATTCATGGATTTTATGCACATTTTTTCTTCCTTTCATTTTGCACAACAGGAAGACCAGCTGATGAAGATGCGAATTAAAATCTATGAACTGGAAAGCAAGAATGAAATGCTCAAGGAATTATGCAGAGAAAGAAGACGACGAATTTTAGGGTTAGAAGAAAAGCTAATGGCTGAATGCAGGCCATGTAACATAGAAGAAAGAGGCTCTGATTCAAAAGAGTTTCAGGGAGTTGAGAAACAAAGTAATGGTGCTGGACCATCCAATGATGTGGAACCAATACAAAGCAAGGGCTTCAACAGTGGTCAGGTCTCTGTTCAGGCTGGCAATAAGGAGAAGTCCCTGAACATCAGAGAAAACTTACAGAGGCCAAGGCAGAATATGTACAACATAGGCTACACATGTAATACAAGAAGGTATGTTATTGATAGTGAATTATAAGGAATTAAGTATGTCATACATAACAGAATCCCTTTATTGGCATAATGGTAGTACATCAAAAATGTTCACTTTGGGGGAACTTTTTATTTGGGATTCACTACATTTTACTTTCATATGAGCTCTCAGTTCATGAAAGCAAATGGATTTTATTTATTGTGGTCAGTTCAATACACAGCTGGATTGGTGATTGTCATACCTAACAAAAAAATTCAAATATTCCACCTACCAGAATTATTGATGAAAGCAATGCCAAAAATCCTTTCCATGCTGGTTTACTATGTAGACATTCTAGTATATTTCTATGTTAACTTCAGCTACTGATGAGACATATTGGGTTCCTTCTGCTTGTACAATTCATCACCAAATAAGTTCAGAGGAGAAGGATCAATGACTTCAATGAGTTTTTTGTATGAAGCATGGGAAAGGTTAATAAAGTTAGATGAGACTGTGTGGTTATAATGCTTATATTTTAAAATTCAGTGTGCATGAAGCTTAAATCTGCTTACCAGTGACAAGATGAAAACTCATGATGAGAAAAATCAAATCATAACACACTGTAAAAGTGATTTAATGTAGAAGGTGAAATGTACACGGTGACACGTACTTCTATCAAAAGCCTGTTAACCTTTTATACTACTGAACCGGGTGAACTTGAAGTAGAAGTTTTGTCGGTTAAATAATTTTGTATATTCAGTGTATGAAATTTCACTGTTTGAAGAAATTTGTTATATGATATTGTATAAATACATTATAATACATTATGTAGTGTTAGGACTCCCCTGCCCCAAATGTATAGAGGTTCAGACTGAGTGTCTTGCCTTGTTTTAATGTCTGTCTTCAAGTATTTTAATAGGATAATGTGTTTTAATGCTTGTTTTGTCTTTGCCCCATACAGGCCTTTGAAAGAGAATGTTGAACGAGCTATTGATGATCTGGGCGGCTTTTCGAAGAATTAAATTTTAAAAACCTTCCTGTTTATTACCTTGTTTATCTGCAAACTGTAATTTTTTAAATTTTAAATTAAATTGAATTGTAAAATACTTTCAGCAGTTAACAGCAGTTTTACCGTAATACATAAATTGTAGACTGATGACGATCCTTATGTTTGAAACTTGTAGCTGTAAGTGCATTAACACCCTGTGTACTTTGTAATAATTTTATACAAGATTTTGTAAGTGGATACATATAGGCCTATATATTGTAAAAGTTATTATTTTATGAAACAGTTACTCTCTCACTGTGCATAAGTGGTTATGCCCTTGAGATCAGTTCCTTCATCACTCATTAATTCACAGCCACACCACTGTTCAAAATATTGTGCTCGCTCTTCTCTTGAATAAGTTGCAAATCATGCTGCTCGGATGATGTGCACTGAGAACTGACTGAGTACTCGCTCACTCACTGACTATACTCAGTCATTCACTCTGCTGCACTGAACTGAGAACTGACTGACTCATCACTCCTCTTAACTGCACTGAGCTGACCACTCATTGCTGTGCACTGCACTTAACTGAACTGAGCCATTGTGAGGACTTTACAACATCTTTTATAAGCATGTCACCCATTTAGAAGGTTCTAGCCAGTACCTGGGTGATCTCCACCTTGTTGACTGAGCAGCTTCCTTCATTCATTCATTCATTTCCTTTATTTTCCATATATCCATACAGGCAAAAAACCTAGGATGTGGAAATAGTCCCTTTGATAATAGATGTATACATATAATAAATTACATAAGTCA